TCTGTACTATGTTACAATTAATTGTATACTCTCTAAAATCCTAAATATGATGAAAGGCAGAACTGTAATGTGTTAAATAAATTGGGTTGTAACAGCAATTTTGAAGCCCTGAAAATTAAACAATTTTTTAATGTAGGAAATAAAAAATCCCTCTTCTCCCTGCCCCCAAATCAAGCTTCTCCAGCACCAATTTCTATTCCATTTATTTTAAAAGAAACAATAGCATCATCTTCTCTTACCTTCAGCTTCATATTCTTCACTGTCCTGGGATTGCCAATGCTAAATAAAAAAACAAGAGGGGACAAAAGTTCATTGTAATATAGTACAGGTAGTCCTTGACTTACGATCACAATTGGGACTGGAACTTCCATCACTAAGTGATGAGGTCATTAAGTGAGTCACGCTATTGTCAGTATTATAGGGACATTTGCTTTCAGCTGATTACCCCTCTTTTATTTAAATTCCCCGGGCATTCCGATAATTTTTACTTGCATTATTTGTTAAATAATCAAGACAGATCTATTTCTTTAAAAGTTGCAAAATTTTGCTACATAATGTGTAAGCTTCGCCCACAAATGGTTGCTAGTAATTATTGATGAAAGGGATAATATTGTGTCTGTTTTATTTCTTTAAAAGTTGCAAAATTTTGCTACATAATGTGTAAGCTTCGCCCACAAATGGTTGCTAGTAATTATTGATGAAAGGGATAATATTGTGTCTGTTTTATTTCTTTAAAAGTTGCAAAATTTTGCTACATAATGTGTAAGCTTCGCCCACAAATGGTTGCTAGTAATTATTGATGAAAGGGATAATATTGTGTCTGTTTTATTGTATCTATTTTTATTGGTCAATGACCAAAATAAATATGATGATGAGTCACGCTCAATTTTATGACTTTTTTGCAGCAGTCATTAAGTGAATCACATGGTTGTTAAGCAAATCCAGCTTTCCCCATTGACTTTGCTTGTAGGAAGCCCCCTGGGAAGGTCGCAAATGGTGACCACGTGACCCCAGGAAGCTGCAACCATTGTAAATACATGCTGGTTGCCAAGCACTTGAATTTTGATCACATGACCACGTGGACAATGCGATGGTCGTAAGTGCAAGGACTGGTGTAAATCACTTTCTCCAGCATCATCATAACTTTGAACAGTCACTAAATGAATGGTTGTACATCAAGGACTACCTGTAAATGTTTACACCCCAGAATAGGAATAAGGTAATCACATTAATCCGTTGGGTCACAAGTGCCAATCTGGTGGCACCTTAAAAATGTAACAGATAACTGTGATGAAAGTGTAGACCAAACAAGAGTAAAATTTTCCTACTCCAGATGTAGATGTGTTTAATAATGTGAGGACTTCAATTAATTCAGCTAAGTAAATTAGCTCCTTCCTCATGAAAACTTCTGCCACCAGAGGTTGCTGCATTTAAGGTACACAAGATTCGTTGGTATTTTTTTAAAGGCAATTCTACAATAAAAAATAACTACCAATAATAGAAATACCCCACTTCTGCCCCACCTTTCATCATTTAAGTTTTCATGAAGGCTCTTTAGGCACAGCCTTTCCGATTCTCACCAAAATGATCACATCTCCTTCTTTTAATGTCATCTGCAAACTAGATTTTAAGTCATTTTCCCTCTCACCAATCCCAAGTTGCTGTCATTTCAGCAACAAAAACTCCACTTGGAACACAAAGAGCTGCAGAAGGGTCTGATTAAGAAACAAGTTGTCAGATAGATGGACAAAATTAATACATGTGGGTGCTAAGTTGAGGAGCTGGGCTATTTGTTTTCAAAGACTCCTCCTTTAAGAAATGATGTGTCTCAACTTTGAGAGAGAAGGGTTGGGCAGCCCTGATATAAAAGACAGAAAAATCTTGCTGGGCACATTCCCTAGCATGCCATTGTTTACTGACACAGCATTTAGGACAAGCAAGAATGTTTCAACATTCCCATTTTACAGAGGGGAAAACCGAGGAGGCCCATGCCCAGAGAGCAGCATTCTTAGGCTCCCAAGAATAGACGCTTCATTATGCCACAGTAAAATGCCCTTCTTCCTTGCCCCTCCCTTATCAAAGCCACAGGAATTCAACTATGCAAAGAGCATAACCCATGTAGCCTGGCCAGGATTATACCATATATTCAGATTCTGAGCATGAGCAGTGAAAGGAACTCCCCAAGAGGATACAGAACAAGCAAACAGGATCATCACAGCGTCCTGGATTGTACGGCTTCACACAGCATGGATGGATTTAAAATACAGGATAACTCTGATTTAGCAGACCTCAACAGAATGGACTCCACAGGCCCAATTTTGGCAAAGATTTACATCATTTGTGTAATGGTGTCTTTAGGCATATAACACAAATCATGTAATTTTGTGCCGCTTTGTCATTTCTGTAAATTACATAATGATGGCATCGTGCCAATAATGAAATGATGATGTAATATGAAAGTATTTCATATTTAATGTACGTGCATAAATAACAGTCAGCCTCTCTCTCCAATTAGCCCATTAAAATGCGGTTTCACGGCCCAGTGGGGAAAAGTACATCTTCCTGCTGATATGTAAACATCACATCTCTTCCCTTGACAAAAGCAAGCAAGAGGAGAAAGTGACGATGCAACTGGAGCAGAGGAAGGAGCAGAAAGAAAGATTCTGTACCTGTGTGCTGGATCTACAGCACAGAAATATGCCACTGCTGCTCACAGAAGGCTAGGGGAGCCCTTTCAGCTTCCTGCACACCCAAGAAAGATTAGACAACTAAGTTGTCCTGTCACCACCTAACAAACAAGCCATCTAAGGACAGAGATGAATATCAAGGCAAGGTCTCTGCGTTATCAGGACTCAAGGACCTTGTCCTTCATGAGAGCCATCAAAAAAGCAAAGTAAAGTGGCAAATGGGATACATTGTTTTTTAATAGGTCTATCCCCATTCACTTATACAGCAGAAAAAAGGGTCCATTTTTACATTAAAAAGGCACGGGGGAAAGGGACGAGACCAATGCATTCTATCACTCTGTGACCCATTGAAAAGACGATCCGAGCAGTTGGTTAGGAGAGGGCTCCTCACGCACAGCAGCAGATCCCTTTTGCTGCAAGATTCAGACCTCCATCCCATTCTGCATATGGATGGGACCGAGGAGTAAACAATCTCATTTCTAGTTTTCAGGTACACATGCTACTTCCAAACTGCAGAGGGAAGAGAGGACCCTCTAACTAATCCCTAGATTAAATCCCCTAAATCCCGTAAATCTGGAACTAGAACGATTGCTTCCAGGATTTGGGAGCTGTTTTTCTTCTTAACATCTGTCATTCTGTATGGAAATCTTTGAGCTGGAAGAATCCGACAGTAGCAAAGACTCATCTTATGTGTCAAGTAATGGTTATGGTTGGTTTATTTTTAAAGTAGCCATCAAAACAGTTGTAACTGAAATGATATAATGTCTCCTCCCAATGCCTCTAGGAGACCTGCCTCTGCAGCTGTTTTTTGTGAAGCAATTCATTCTTTATATCCACAGCTGCAAAAAAGAGCCCATATATTCAACAGGATGTTTAGGTTCCAGAGTTTTAAAACAGCATCTAGGAAAAACAACACAAAAGAAACAAAAACTCGGAATTCATCTGACCAATAGATTTGAAGGAAGAGTTGCCAAGTACCCAGGAAAGGAACTAATGCCTTAAGGCAAAATTTAAATCATGTTTATTCTAATTACACTACCAGGAGAATAATGGGAACTGAATCAGATCCTCTGCCTTTCAAAACTTCTATATTGTAGTTTCTGTGCCTCGTCATCTGGAAAGCTGAGGAGACGGGAGTCCCGTATGGTTACCTTCCCTGTGCCAAGGTTTCTGTAGATGAGATCATTACTGCCAGAAGACTTAAGTCTACAGTGGATGGAGAAACAAGGGAACTGAACTCCAGCACATCTAGATGGCGTGAGATTCGAAAGAGTTGCCTTAGATCAGTGTTTCTCAACTTTAAGAGCATGCTGGGTAGGGAATTCTGGGAGTTGAAGTCCACACATCTTAAAGTTGCCAAGGTTGAGAAACGCTGCCTTAGATTATGTCATTACTTCTGACCATGCTAGATATGAACAGGCTACTCTTCTCAGCACTAATGTTTTAGAAATAATCACATTAAGGTCTTTGTACATGCTTGACACAGGATAATATTTGGGTTAATTGTATAGTCTTTGGATATATATGGTTTTTCCTCCCTCCTCCATTAATCAATCTTTTTCTCTTTCTTTAATGCAAACAGAAATTATTTATTTGATTCATTCCCTGCCCTTCTCCTCTGGCAAGCACTCAATTTTTCAAAAACAAAAATGGAATGTAAAATGTTAAAAACATATATTCAAATTAATACCAAACAGGTACTGAAATCATTGAACAGTTTAAAACCTAGTGAAAGAGACGCAATGTAAGAGTTGGTTCCCAGACTGATAAAGTTTTGAGATGATTAATATAAACAAGCAGCTACAAACCACTCTTCACTGGTTCATAGCAGGGCTGTGAGAAAGACAATAAAAAAGTCTCCACCCTAAAATACATGGAGATATATTGGTTTTAAATTAAAAATAGTTCACTTGCTGAAATTCTTGTACCCCTACCTCTTTCATCTCAATAAATCTTGCTAAAGAGAACTCTGAGAATCATGTGGGGAAAAGATCCATTTAGGCAGTTACCAAAGAGCCTGACATATATTTTTTACAGATTCTCTAAACACTGAGAGAGCATGGGGAGCAAATACAGTTCCCAAAGGAATGCATGCGTTGCCTGGAGCTATGCGACAGCAGGTCCTCTCCTGCATGCCAGAAATATTTGTTAATTTTATATACCACTAAAATCAAATGACAGTTTAAACAGTTTTCACTCTTTAAAAACATAAATTAATATAATAAAGTCATTTAAAAAATTGGTGCCTTCAAGTCAGTGTTGACTCCTGGCGACTGCCTGGAAAAGTTCCTGCAGTTTTCTTGGCAAGATTTCGGAAGGGGTTTGCTATTGCATTTTTCCTAGGGATGAGAGAGTGTGACTCCCCCAAGGTCACCCAGCTGGCTTTGTGCCTAAGGTGGGACTAGAACTCACACTCTCCTGGTTTCTAGCCTGGTGCCTTAACCACTACATCAAACTGGCTCTCAAAATTATAACAGAACAGAACAGGACAGGACAGG